ACCAAAAAAAATGCTCTTTCCATCCTGAAGCTCGACCCCCACCCACAGCTTATGGTGTTGGGTCTAGCGTGTTAGGGTTTGGGGTTTTAGAGTTTAGGGTTTAGGGTTTTAGGGTGTTAGGGTTTGGGGTTTTAGGGTTTGGGGTTTTTGAGCTTAGGGTTTTTGAGCTTAGGGTTGTAGGGAAAACAGGTGGATGGTGCCCTTTCGCAGTGGTTGAGCCAAGTCGGACTATACTCTTCTCATAGGATACTAAATCCAAAAAGAGGATATATGGGTGGTTGTCAAAACTATGGGCCCTTTTTGGATCCCTATTCTAATACGGCACCTAATATTTAGGGTACCCAAAAAGGGACCATAATTTTGACAACCACCCCTATGTTGCTCGATATTGGGGACTATAAATATCCCCATTACGATGCGACTCACGCGTGTTGGCAGGATGAGGGTAAGGCCGGCGGCTCACATAGGTTTAGTGTTTACAGTAGGGTTTAGAGTTTAGGGTGGGGCACATCGCCCAAAGTAGGCCAAGAGTAGTCAACATCTTTTTTTGGTGTCATCTCCATCCTAAACCCGAGACCCCAAATCCTAAACCCAAAACCTAAACCCTAAACCCAAAACCCTAAACCCTAAATCCTAAACCCAAAACCTGACATCAGCAGGCTGCCTTCGCGCAGGCCTTTTGCCTGGGCTAGTTGGGGGCAAACATTGAGGCGACAAAGGTTCTGGAGACTTGGCATTCCACCCTAAACCCTAAACCTTGAACTCAAACCCCTAATCCCTTATCTCTACTCCCTAAGGTCTAATCCCAACACCTTAACCCTAAAACTGATTCAGGGTTAGGGTGCAGTCCTTCCTGCCAACCTCCCAGGATGGGTGTCAGGGTGTAGGGTTTGGGTTTAGAGCTCAGAGTCAACGGGCGTTTTGTAAAATAACTTGTTGACAGATCCTGGGTGGTTTCGTAAATCAATATAGCCCACTTCCCACCAAACCCTAAACCCGAATAACTGCCCAGTTGTAAACCTTTGTGTTCCTTAAGGCCTTGGTCACTCCCTCTGCTGCACCACCCAATACCTGGGATTCACCAGAGGTTCGCCATGTGCTTTTGCATTTGACTCTCTAGTATTTGCGTACTAATCCTGAACTCTATGCCCTATTTACCCCTGTATAATCTAGGAAGTGTCCTAAACCCCTAGCCCGAAACCCGAAACCTTTACCCGCGTTTAGGCTCCATGCATTTTGCAGGCCAACCGCCTCTGGTAGGTTCTAGTGTCCTGGTGCCACAATAACTTGGAATAGTTCCAGAGTCTTGAATCACGCGGTTCAGGGTATAGGCTGTAGGGGGTTTAGGGTTTAAGGCGATTCTGGGGCGATTGTCCGTGAGAACCCTCAATGTGGGTGAGGTGGGCTGACGTCGTCGGAATTTACACAATTTTGCCCGGGTCTCCATCTTCCTAGACCCTCCATCCAACCTCGAGCATAGCGTAAATACCCACTATTAGGAAACACATGCCCCTATTTCAGTGTACTCAGAAGGTCCTGGTTTGTTGCTGTTCACGCTGCTCTGTTGAAGTGCTTTGTTGCCGAGGGCCCTTTGATCCCCCCCACAAAACCCGAGCCCTCTGCCTAATCCCACCGCCCCGGATCTAGGGTTTAGGGATTAGAGTTTTGGGATTTAGGGTTTAGGGTTTAGGATTCTAATATCCTCCATACACGCCTCAAGTTGCTTCTTTGTGTGTTCCTGAGGCCCTGCACCGTCTTCGTATCTTCCTGAGACATAAACCCTAAACCTAAATCCTTAAGCTTTGACCTTCAAAGTATCCTCTTGAGCCCCGGGAACCTTCCCGGCACCCTCCTGAAGCCGATGAGCTGTCTCCTCATTCCAAACACTCCAGAACCGGTTAAGGGTGTAGGGTTCAGGGACTCTCGTCCCCCGAGACCTATAACCAAATATGTTTCTTATACATCGTTATTCTAAAAATTACCTTTGATAGTTCCTTGGGGGTCTGCTACGTTTGGAATGAAAAATATGTAAAAATGTCATTATGGAGTCCACACCTCAACCACGCACCTCGTAATTACACTCCTCCGCAAGATCTTAAATACCCAGCCCATGGCTACCCTAGCATCCTGCCAAAACCTTTGATTTTTTAGGGTACAGGGTTTAGGGCATTTTTGGGTTAAGGGGAAAGACTCGACAACATCTCCCAACATCCAAACCCCTAAGCAGTCAACTCAAAAACCAGCATCGTAAACAATAAGCCCTGAGCCCTAAAATCTCTTTCGCAGTTCAAAACGTAGACCCTAAAGTATAAACCCTCTAAGCCCTAAACCGGATTATAACCTAAACTCCTAGTATCCCCCAAGGTAACCCCTATAGTAGTCCCATATATATCCCCCTATATCACCCCCTTTAAGGAGTTTAGACTATAGCCCATTTCCTGTTGATTACTCGGAAAGCTGCTGCTTATCCCCGCTCCACTTGGTTGGCTCCGCCTGCATCCGGCCTTGCTCGGGTCTAGTGTTCAGGGTTTGAAGTTTAGGGTTGAGGGCTTAGGG